TAATCCTAAAACTTCTCATTAAAACAATTTTAAACTGCCAAACTGGGAAAGATCCCATCTGAGAAATGTTCCTAAAGCATTTTCCAATCCTCCAAACCTCAAAAAAGCTATAAATTTCAATAAAAAAAGACGCATTCTCTAAATTCTGCATATGCTATTGGTCTCCATGTGGGAAACCCATATTCCTTTTTCATCCCTATTATTCAAACATCATGATACTCTATGGGATCCTGGCTAACACGAAATACAGTTAAGTGGTATCCATCTGTACACAGCTGCCATTTTCCTCAAATATATGACATATCTCAGGAGGAGTTTTCAGACATTACAAACAAGAAGCATTCAACCCCCACCTCCACCACCACCTTCACTCCAGTGATTTCATTTTTCTTCAGTCATTTGCACTTTTACTACAAATGTTTGCAGTGAAGTCTTTCTTAATACAACTGTAGTCATATTGGCTTTCATAAGCCAGGAAGCATTATTAGGGTTCTGAATCCCATGGAAGCCGACACAAGTGCAGTTGTACCTTGGAAGATTTCCCTGATGCAGACAACTGCACTGAAGAGTTGAACATCCTCAGGGAAAAAATAGGTTAGTTGAGATGACAGAGCATTAGGTTTGCGCGGACTGGTCAAGCTGTTAGTGCTTGCGTTCGTAAGGCCTGGATAGGACTTGTGTGCCCAATGCACATCAAAAAGACATTTGTAAGGAAACGTTGCAAAGATGAATAGCAAAACAAGGCTAGATTATATGGCCTTATGGACTCCTCCATACTTTCATTCAAAGTGCAGAAGCCATGAATCTTCCCTCTAAAGCTTCTTTCCAAGGTTACTAAGGCAGAAAGGAGAAATTAGTTTCTTAAAATAGAGGATCTATGCAGTGGTGTAGCCAGATCTCAATCACTTCGATACAGGAACACTTCCAGCTGCTGCAGCCACAAAAAACAAACAAAAAACCCTGGGGATTCTCAGTAACTTCTTCTTTCCCCCTTTAAAATATCTTTCTTCTTTCCTCTTTCAAAATATTTACATAAACCAAGAAACTTTACTCAGGTTTTATGTGATTAAAAAAAACACATAAACATTATTTTTTGCTTAGAAATCTAAGTAAAATAAGGGAATAGAAAGCATTTCTGGAAAATCAGATATACTTTTATTTAAGTGATAGAATTACCAATTAGTGAACACGAATCAAGATCCCATTTTTAGGGTAAATGACAGCTTCTTTCTCATTAAGGTAGTGACTGAATAGAGAGTGACAGTTGGCTTTTAATTAGCATCTACAAGCTTATGTTTTGTAGAGGACATATACCACCATACCTGACCTTTTTGCCATACTTTATAAAATATCAAAATAATTTTCAGTAATTTTCTTTTATCTACCTTTAACTCGCAATAGCTAAGCAGAAATTAAGCTAATCAGACAAATTGCACATCATCTCATTCACTGACTCACTCTCAAAATTTCTCCTATTACATTACATTACATTTTGGATTTATCTCTGCCCATCTCCCCCAGTGGGGAACTCTGGACAGCTCACAAAGTACACCGTAACCATTATGGTATGATAGTTTATACCATATTCATTTCCTCAATGCTCTCAAACCATTTACTGAATATTTTTCAGAAAAACATACATTCAATTTCAACAATATTGTCCAGGTGTCTTAGGCTGGATTTGATTTTCTAGAACCCTTCTCACCTTATCATCATCACTGTATTTCCAAAGGGTCTTTTATTTTCTTCAACTGGCTAACATACTGAAATTCTATTTTTTTTTAAATCAGTGACTATTCAGCACCACTTTTAATCCCATCTCTTATTGATTACGCGCCGTCAAGTCGATGTTGACTCTTAGTGACTACATAGACAAGACTTCCTTCATGATGATCTGTCCATAACCTGATCTTTCAGGTCTTCCAATGGTCATCTCTCATTACCTTCTCCAAAATTAGCTTAATTCAGAGTAACAAAGCAATGTATAGCATAGCCCTATTCAGGAGCCCCTTCCTGATTCAAATCACACAAGGATAATCATGTAGAAAAAGGTTTATTACCTCATCCTCTTCCTCTGTCCTTCAATTCTACCATACTTATGTGTTTAGAAACATATTTTCTAGATATTTACAGAGCAAAGCTTTGACTGTTTTCCAGTGGCAGCTTTGTTGTCAGGAGATAGTATGTATAGAGTATATCTATGTCATTTAAAATGAAACGATCCACTTCAATATTATACAAACTTTGTATACCAAATATGAGTCTTGAAAGTCTTTAAAATTATTAGAAGAGATTGGATCTGAAATCAGTGATTTCTATGGCAAGAAATTTTTTTCAAATCCATCTCAGTGAATTATCAAGAATTGATTATACAAAAAGATTCATAGATGTTACAACACACCTTTAAAATTCTATTCTATTGATCAAATTTTTTTAGTTGGTGGATTTTAGTCACACCAAACTATCACACTCTCTGGTGGCAAAGCCCATTTTTAAATTCATTTTTGTTGAATTAGAAATTTAGAAGAATTATCAAACAATTTCTAGCAATTGTACTCAGGGTTGTTGTCTATATTTCCAAAGACATAAACTATTTCAATATAAGAAAGTTAATTCATTTTTTCTCTTAGCTAGATAATTAACAAAACACCAAAGAGCGTTGGTGGATTTTAGTCACACCAAACTATCACACTCTCTGGTGGCAAAGCCCATTTTTAAATTCATTTTTGTTGAATTAGAAATTTAGAAGAATTATCAAACAATTTCTAGCAATTGTACTCAGGGTTGTTGTCTATATTTCCAAAGACATAAACTATTTCAATATAAGAAAGTTAATTCATTTTTTCTCTTAGCTAGATAATTAACAAAACACCAAAGAGCCACTAAGAAGCTTCCAATTAAGGATTATCCTACCCAAATTTGATCTTCATTTTTATTTATATAAAACTCTTAATAGGCTCATATCTATAAATATTGAATATGGAAGTTTTAAATCTTGGCATGTCTTCTTAAGGATATAAATCTGTCTCTGTCTAGTTTTAATACAAATATTAAAAGCATAAGTTAATCATCCAAGTATTTTGTACCAGCCCGAAATACTGGAAGCCAAGGTGTGGTTTATTGTTCATTATGACAGAAGAATTCTAAAGTTTTGCTAGTTGTGCATGTACTTAGCGACTCCTGAAACTTTATTCTTCTAAGATGAGGAAGCTGTGTAGAGCAAGAAATGTCTCCTTTCATTAAAGGTTTTTGAAGGGGAACTTTAGGCTGAAGGGGCAGAGTCAGCTGCATCTTCAATATTCTGCTTTTTCAAACGAGAAGGCTGCCCAAAGAAGAAAGCCTCTCTGTCTGAGGAGATGCGTTTATGCATGAACTCTTGTTCTGCTCTTTTCCTTGCCCCATCCTCCCTCACATAAATTCATATATATATATATACAAATCTCAGTTGATGGGGGAACAACCACCTCCCTTCTTCTGTAATTGTACAAATGTTTGTGTTCTCTTAAACATATAGATGTCTCTTTTGTGTATGTGATTGGTGCTGCATAACCTGAAAGAAAATGAACCAGATCTGTTTTTCATAGCTGAAACTAAAGGTGCCTGAGCATTAGTAGTATAGAGCCACTGACCATCTGGAAGACATATACAACCAGCTCTGAGTTTACAGCTCTGAGTTTACTGGAGGATCAGCAGGATATAAAAATGAACATAAAATCCAATTCTTAAATAAGCTTCAGGTTTCTACTTTCTGGGTTCTGGAGACTCATTTATGTGATATACTGCCCACTGGTAGAAAATGTATGCATGATTTCATTGTAGGTAGTGTTAAATAACAAATACAACAAAATAAGCAAGTTCATTATCTTTGTTTTACCTTATCACTATCCAGCGTATTTTGGGAGGTTCGTGATGCAATTGAAATAGTATCAGGTTGACTGCTACCCTCTCCTTGACTATCCAAGTCTTCTCCATCTCTGTAAACATAAAGTGTTACAAGTCTACAATAGAAATTTCTTAATATTCATCACCATATACAATGAAATAGTTTGATAATAATATGCTATTAGGAAACCTATATGGAAGAAGTCATATATGATTTTGCACTGAATTTATAGAGTTTAGCTTTTCAGCTCCATGAACATAGCTTGCCCATAATATAAACTCCAGAAGGTTCATAAACACTAGCAATTGTGCAGGTTCACACTAAAATACTAACAATATACAAAAATGAACTGCACAAAGAGCAATTAATGTCATGCTGTCATGGAAATTATTGATCTCAACCATTCTTTACAAGAAATCAATACATTTACATTATTCAATATAAGCCTGGTAAAATAGCCTGGGCAAAAAACATTAAAAAGGCCCTCCAAATCAGTAGATATTTACCGACATGTAGAGAGCCTTCCAGACAAAAGGATTTGCTAGAAGCTATTGTCAAAGCAGATAACAATGTTCTGACAGAGAAGTAATTAAGTAGTAAGAAGTATAGGCTTAATGAGAGTAGAAACAAGCTTTGTGTGATCTTGAAAAAAAAGGAAATTTTTGACAACTATTTTTTGTTCCCAATAAGGTTCGCAGGAAGGTGATATAAGGGATACTGATGATGTACGTAAGCAACTTTATAGAAGTGCTTGCTTGTTGGCAAACTTTTATCTTGTCTTGATAAAAAACACTTGGTGATCACAGTACAATAAAGCAACTTCAAAGCAGTGTTCAGCTGTTTGGTCCAGGTCAGCATTTAGAAATTCAATACTTTTTAGAACTATGTATTCTGAAATTTCAAAATCACATAATTATGGAATGCTCAAGAGCCAGCATTTCATGACCTGAAATTTACTCTAAGATTCATTTCAAAATATAGCATAAGAAAAGCGCTAAATCAGACAACCCCCTGCTCAGTTCAACATTGTGCTCCTGCAACGGCTAGCAAGATCCTTACGGGCAACATAAAACAGAATAGTGTAGAATGGCATTCTTCTGCTCATTGTTCCTTAACAAATGGTATTTATAAATATGCTGTAACAGGCATTAATCATATAGTAACTGATTAGTCATCTTATGTTCCATGAATCTCTCCAATTCCTTGTTGAAAGCTCTCCAAATTAATGTATCATGTGATTGCAAATCCCACGGTTTATCTCTGCATCTTTTATCTATCTTGAGTGTCACACCAACATGTGCTACTGGATTCTAAGATTTTCAGAGAGTATGAAAAACATATCCCTAGCCACTTTTTCTACACTGTAGTATTACAGATTTCTATATGTACCAGTATTTAATGGTTAGTACTTTATTTGGTATGCACTTATACCTAAGGACAATACAAGACATTGTATTATATGTCTTCCTTCCAGATTTTTTTCCTAAAGAGTTCAAAACCCTATAATCTTTCTCCAGAGAAGTTGCTCCACTCCCATTCATATTTAATGTTACTGCAGCTTTCTAAATTCTACAGCAACCTTTTTAAGCAGAGTGATTTACCATATTCAAATTTGACAAGTATCTGAAGAAGTATCTACATCTTGAAATGAGAAGCAGAACAAAAATCAGAGACACATGCCTGGATTCAAGGTTCTGACCTTAAATGTGTTTTTACTTAATATCTTACAATTTAGTATCATGATCCAGAATACCATTTTTTTTTTTAAAGTACAGAATGTACTTCCCCAAAGATAGTTCAGCCCCTCTGTTAAGATGGATTTCATAAAAAGCAAGAACCATTTCCTGCAACAGACTGGGCTTCTACTAACCTTCTTCCCTTTTGTTTTGTTGTTGGGGCAGTTTTAGGAATGTGGATAGGCTCTTTTAAGGCTCCTTTGAGATGAATTGTTCTTTCCTGTATTACTTCTCTGATATGTTTGATCCAGTCTTGTTTGTTCTCAATACTGGAAGCCTTGAAGATAAAGAATAATTTCTTGTTTTAGTATATCATTAAAAATAGACTTTTAAAAAGCCATGCTCACCAAGTAACAGAATGTATTAAAGAAGAAGAATACAGATCATTTGTAGCAATATTTTTGTTCTTTAGCTCTGAAAACTGAAGGATACCCATTTCTTCATTAAATTTATTGTTTTTAAGACTTGCTTTATGCATTTTACATCTTTAATCTATATACAAGTGTCCTGGGATCATGACAGCAAGTCAGGAACCTATACTGCAATGGACGATCTACTAGAGGTGACAGAAAATCATATTCAAAATTTACACACAGATACTCTAGTTTCTTGGCACAACTATATCCACAAAAGTTTGTGTGAGTTGCTAGGATGGCACACTGTTCACAAAACTGTCATGTCTCATTGTTTGCAACGTTCCCATGGTTAAGTTACATGAAATCACTCAAACAAACTTCCAGATGAAACCTTGTACAAACCAGCAGTTTTGAGAAAGGGAAGAAAAAATAAATAAATAAAAAGAAACCTACTTTGGCACTCCTAAATACTGGTATCCAGAAATAGCTGCAATCCATTACCTATGGCATACTGACTTTGTAGGCCTATTGCCAGCTATAGGGACTTCAAGACATGAGTGATGCTTTGAATTTTGGGTATTATAAGTCACGTCTGTTGAAAAATGAGAATTCAATTGAACAAAAAGACACTTAACACCAGGCATGGGAACTCTCAGCATATAGACTGCAAGTAGCTTCCAGCATTCTGAGACTGTACCATTAAAATTCAGTTTTAAAATGGCCGATTTTCAGTGGCACAATTTTTTTGTTTTTGTTTTCCAAATGCCCCTGTGTCAGAAGGCTGAACTGCATGCTTTGAACCCTCAGAGGTTGCCCACTCTGCTTAGAAATATTAATACCTCCCAATTACCTTTAGCACAATTTTATTGTCTGAAGTAGGAGTTCTTCCAACCCACAGTGCAAATTTACAGGGATCACCTTCTACATGCTCTGTGACACCCAACTCAGAGGTCTGAAAATTAAGGGAGGAAGGAATAGTTGTTAGTTATGGGAAAACGTTTTATAACATGAAAAGGCATTTTTAATGAATTAAAAAAAAATCAGTTATCTCTTAACCACCAAAAATGTTTGGACAAAAGTAAAGTAGATGATAAGCAGTTGTGTGAGATACTTATTATTTCCTGGCTGGCTTCAATTTCCCAGCCCTTTGGTTCTTTCTTATACTGTAGATAACTTTTAGTTATTCCCTTTGCTTTGCCAATCACTAAAACCCTATTAAATAATTTCTAATTTCCAAAGACAGTTCTGACATAATCTTAAATAAAGCTTTGTTTGGAATATTCTGAGAGCAAAGAGTTGGAAAGCTGACTGAATGAAAACTTATTAATAAAGCATGAATGATGGATCTGTAATCCAGTATAATATCAAGTGCTCATCCCACAATCCCACTAGATGGACATAATTAGCAGCTGCTAAAAGTTATTGATTTATAGGTTGAAATATACATTAGACTCCGTTCTAATCTATTTTATTAGTGGTCCAATGAGTACTGAGGTAAGGTCTCTAAAAAGATGCTGCAGCTTATTTAGAACACTTAGTCGCCTATAAAAAAATTAAGATCTTTTTTCCAACCTAACTGAAGTTACCTGTAGCCCTATTTAGCAGCTGTTCTTTCTCTACTTCTTTTCTGTATTCTGTTATGAGAGGCTGAAAAGGCTATTGCAAAATAAAACTCTACACAGAAGAAAGAAAGGCTTTCAATGATATCAGTCAAGAAGCAGAATAACAGAATTATTTCAAAACATTATTTCCAAAGTTGTCATATTTAGATTATATGCAGATGATGATCATTCTCATTTTACATGATTCAAAAGAATAACTTCATCAGGCTCTTCATCAGTATTTCAAATTCTGACTTAGGACCAAACCAATCATGTTTCATTGTATTAATCAAAAGTTTCCAGGCAAATTGGAATGACCGGCAATATATGCCCTTGAAATATTCTTTTTACTGTAGACCTGTTTCATGATTAAAGAATAATGCTAGTGGTATATCCATCTGCTTACGGGAATACTTTTCAAAATATTTCAGAATCTATTCCTTAGTGTCCAAAAGAGTTACCAGCCTCTTTTCCAGTTATATAAACAGTGGTATATTCAATCATCTGCTTATGTCTTAACTCAACAAACAAACTGGAGTTGTTTTAAGGGAAATCTGAGAGCAATTCACTGCATTTTGCAACATTTGAGCACACCTGCTAGTTGTTAGCAACTAGACTTCGCTTTGCTTTTTTCAGTGTAGTAGTAATTTTTCAAACTTACAAACAACTTGCTTTTGTAGATGTATTTACTTCTTCCACTAGAGTCTTTCACTTCTTTACTAAAGACAAGTGACATCTCAAAAAGAAAGAGATGTCTTTCACGCCCTTTCCGGATGAGAGTTTTTGGATCCCATACTTGGAAGGATTCCTGAAGGATGAGTTCTCCCTGAGATTCAATGTTCTCATCAAAACCTAGGAAGCAAGTTGGAGGAATTCAAGGAAGGAAGGAAGGAAGGGGGAGAGAGAAAGAGACATGGGTGTATGCTGGAACTTAGTGCATTTTCTTATAATAGTTTTTTATCGCTGTTCCAGGAAGTCCTTAGAAGCTTAAAAGGTCTTGGAAGCTGTCATTTAATACTCTCATATAAGGTTTATATCACCAATATTTCCTTTAAATTATACCTAGAGATTGGGTGTATTCCACTTCATGAGGGAGAACTGTATTCTCTAACATCTGTAGTTTAAGCTCCATGCAGACTGCATACAGACAGTCCTCACTTACCAACCATTTGTTCAGTGACTGTTCGAGTTATGATGGTGCTGAAAAAATATTTCTGACCTTTGCAGTGTCCCTCAGTCATGTGACTGCCATTACAGTCAGTATATGTTGTCCCTGCCTGACCTGTGGTTCCCCCCCGCCTTGCAGAACAGAGAGGTTGGAGAGAAAAGGATTGCAAGAAAGTAAGCTGTTTGCTCTTCTACACATTGAAAGCAATGCAATGGTGCTGGCAGCCCAGGGCTGGGAGCCACGGGCATGCTACACAAGCAGCTTACAGTACTCTCTTGAAATCTCTTTCTCTTCAATCTCTCTGCTCTGCGAGTGGGGGACGAGAAAAAAAAGCAAGCAATTTCTGTAGGCAATCTCTCCTTTGCCTGACCCTTCCCCCTGCCCCCAAGCGCAGAGCGGAGAGACTGGAGAGGAAGAGATTTCAAGAGGTAAGCTGTTTGTACTGGTGCAATCGCATTGCTTTCGATGTGTACAAAACAGTAAGCAGGCACTTGAGCATTCCAAAGAGCAGGGGAGTGGTTAGGAGGTAAACAAAAGCTGAAGATGTGAAACTCAGTAGTCTTGTCTCTTTCCAGCCGGAAAGGACAGTCATGGTCACATGATTTCCCACTTAGTGACTTCTTCACTTAGCAGCGGAGTTGCTGGCCCCAATTAGGGTTGTTAAGCAAGGACTATCTGTAGATCTACCAGACCATGTTATAAGATTTGGTGGCAAAGTATAAAGATTGCTTGGCAGATGAGTTGCCTTGGAAAGCACTTTCTTACAATTGCAACATTGTAAAACTAGTCTCTTTGATTTAATTTGCAATTATAATCATCGATATTTAATTAATTGGCTATTAGGTACTAACATTTTGACATTTAAGTAACATTTATATATTGGAAAACTAATGAAGTTAATATTTTTCAGAAAAAATAAGTAGCGACGTGGTCTTTTTCTGTTGCTCTAAAAGATAGGATGAAGCAAGCAGCAACCTAATCCAAGAGATGTCACATACCACTTTGTCCCAAGAAAAATATTTCCCTTGGCTTTTGTACTACTTTCTAGATGAAATCTTAAAACAACTAGAACTTGATACATGTATGGTCAAATTTTAAATTTTACATCTGTCCAAACAGAAAGGCTCTCAAAATTGTCCCCCTTACCACATTTTAGAATGAATTAGTTCCCAATCAAAAATGTTTTCTAGCAATCTAAAAATTCCTTCATTTCAACCTTTTATGTGTATATTGTTTAATGTAGTACTAAATTATGTTCTTAAAACAGGAAACATGGCATTCTGTGTAAAGCAGCAGAGTCATCATTTCTTAAATAGTCATTTGGAAATGATCTGTTGCCTTCATCTGAATTGCCAGTCATTATAAAGAACTTGTGATACTGGAAGAAATCTCAGTTATCCTTAGCATTATGAGGGCATTGATTTATTAAAGCCACATAACAAATATTTTATTTAAAATAAGGATGCAGCCAATATAAAAATCTGCATTAAAATGTATATACGAGCCAGATATCAAAATATTAAAACATAATTCTGACAAAAAAGGTAAACCAATATTTATATCATGACTAGATGTCTCCCCAAGCAGAAAATACATGTATTCAGAAATAACAAAAAATTATTTCTAATGATCACCATAATCTGCCAAAGAACTAAAAAAACAGATGGATTATGAGATTTAGAGATTAGTTTCTTAAATGAAATGCTTTCATTTACCACATCCACATGTCTGCTACACAAATATTCAGCATCATTTGTTTGAAAGAATGACTGTGAAAGAGAAATATTAGAATATTTCATACAGTCTACCCACATATTTCTTGACAAGGTGACTATTAATCTTGAATTCCACACTTATTCCAACAATTCTGTTTAATGCATCTGTAATAACAGCCTCACAAACTTTTATTCATATTTGGAGGCTCCAACTGGAACATGTCCAAAAGAAGTGAAACACCATGATAGCAAATAGAAAAATTATACTGTCTGACTATATGTGAGAATCCATCAAGGAAGATGTTATGATAGTACTCTTTCCGTTAAAAATATTTTTTAAATTTCTTAAATGTAATGTGCTGTCCTAATTTAGATGTGACAGCATAATAAATATAAAATTTCACTGTCAACCCAGGTTTTTCAGAGGCCATTAAATGTTGAATTAAACGCTTTTGTTTAAAATTGCAAACATTTAATGGCCTTTCAACAGACTGACAAAAAATTCTAGATGGAACCTTGCTGGAAGAGTTGAATCAAGATTAGAATGGTGAGACCTCTTTTATTGTTGTTTTACTTGTGAGCTGACAAATGCATAAATTTGCACACCTACATATTTTTTTGCTCTGCCTGAATAGGATTCTACAGATCTACTTCCTACTACATTTAGGCATAATTTAGTGGTAGTTCTAAAAGTAACAAGTTGCCCAAATTCAGGTGACTTTAGACCAAATTTGCTGCTTAGTAATTTTACCACAGGAACTAATTACAAGAGGCTGACTAGCTGCATTCTTCTCCATTGATAAGAAGAAGAAGGAGGAGGAGGATAAAAAAGTTTTTCCTTAGCCATGATCAAATGATAAAATGGATTTGGTTTCAAGTACTTTTAACCACAGTATGATTATAAGCAATGTCTCTTGCAAATTACTTTTTCTATATAGAACAGCCATGTTTCTCAGGTTACAGGGGAAAGAAAAGAAAAAAAACCCTTCAGAAGATGTTTCAGAAGATCAAGAAATGGCTTTATATAAGCCTACTTTAAACAAGCTTTTGATAATTTCTTAGGAATAAGGGAGCACACAGAAAAGTAATGACCATAAATCTTACCTTCCAGCATACTGAGATGCATGGCATCATTGGCTCGCTTTGGCACACTCAGCATAACTTCTAAGCCATCTTTAATCTCACCTTTACCCTCTTCACAGCAGGTGAGTAGCTCCTGTAAAGGTACCACATCACTATTCAATCTTTTACCCCTATTAAGTCTTAGTTTCCCAAAACATATCATTGGCGGCCTTTTAATAAGATGCCAGCATTCAAACTTGAGATCTTATGGACACAGGTGTGTTCCTAACTGCAACAATGCCAAAACAACAAAGTGGGCATTGTGATAACATGACACAAGTTCTGCTCTTTCATACTTGTACTGTGACATCACACATAGGCACATGAGGGTTGGGGTATATATCATAGTGAACATTTAGTTATTTGATGCACCCTACGTATGTCTATGTTTCAGAGAAATTAAATGGGAGGCTTGAAGCCATTAACCAAATCACAACCTACTCCTCTACATTAAAAGTATCTGTAACCAATTGTTTAGGATTGGTGGCCATATCTGAAGTCTTGAAAGCATCTTGTGGGTGCCCTCATAAAATGGCTGCTACACAAGAAAGTAAATACCAGTTTGCCAGAAAGAAAACTGGCGATGTTGTCCCCCACCAACATGCTTTACCTTAATGATGCTCTCTGCCATATCATTTATATTTTTCTTTTTCTTCATGGGCAGATTAGCATACAGTACTTAAAAAGAAAGCCATATTTATTTTCTGAGAATGCCTATGAGCCTAACACATTCTTGTAAACAAAACATTATGATAGAGGTTGGTGCTTTATTCCAATGTATTATTATTTCCTAGACATTTGGGAAATAATACAGGATTTGAACTAAATATAAGGAAAAATTTCTGCTGTGGTGCCCCAACCTGGAACATCATCCCCAAGATCAGGCTTGCCCCACCGTGCTGGCCTTCTGCAAGGCATTGAAAACGTGACTTTCCTGTCAAGCCCGGGGCCTTGTGGGTAAGCCTGCTTTTTGGTTATATTGACTGTGAGGTGTTGATATTCAGCTGCTATTTTATGCTGTGTCATGTTATATTTTTAATTATTGGTTGGGTTTTATCCTGTTTCTATTTCGTTTTAATTGTTGGCTGCCCAGAGTCATGTATCTGAGATGGGAGGCCATATAAATGTATTAATAAAACAAACAAACAAACAAACAAAACCAGGAATGAACTCTATAGCCCAGTATGAGAATTTCCCTGTTCTTCCAAATTATTGGGGAAGAGGAGACAGTGGAGAGCTGTGAAATTAAGCTACTGGCAGGGCTTTTATTACATGATGTTAGACTTGTAATTCCTAGCATCTATGGCCAGGAATTTGGGGGGGGGGCGGAGAAAAAAAAGGCCCTATGTTCCCCAATGTCACCTACACGTTTGAAAGAAC